ACTCTGTTTAGTCAAAGTTAAACATGAAACATCAAAGTTCATTAAAAGTGGCCCTTCAGGGCCACCGTAACGCTCATGTGGCCCTCGGTGAAAATGAGTTTGACATAAGAGGTCACAGCATGACAGAGTGACCCACACCACCAGGTCAGTGGGGCTGACAGCAGGGATTGAAAAGCCTCAGAGGGGGGAGGGGGAGTGCACAGAGTGAGATGATGAAGAGGAGGAGGAGGAGGAGGAGGAGGAGGAGGAGGAGGGGGGAGGTGTACACACCTCAGAGACTTCCATCTGTCCTTCTCCATGTTGTTCTCAGGAGCTTCGCTCTCGTATGAAGCCAGATACAGAGCTGTGGCAGAAAACAAAGAGAAAACATCAGTTTTCCTTCAGAATAAAATATTATTTAACTCATTAATTATAGTCATTTAACCGAGTGTCTTATTTTGAAAGGTTTGAGCTAGATGTGTTGATTTGTTTTAATATGCTTTTATTGTGTTGAACTCCAGGAGATAGAGTCTAAACAAATGAATAATTTGAATAAATTGTTCAGATATATTTAGGGTTAAATTCACATAAATCTGTGAGGTTTTGGCTGATTCACGGGGGGCCACAGAACTGTTAAACGTGGCCGTATCTGGCCCGCGGACCGGTACTTGAACGGGCCTGGTTTAAGGTTTTATTTTGAAAAAACTAAAAGCGGTGTGGGTCTTCTTTGCCCCCCGCCTGTGGAGGGAACAGAAAAAAGCCCCAGAACTGACCGTCCTCAGAGACCACCGGGGCGGTCAGCAGGTACTGCAGGATCTTGCGGTCCTTCTCAAACGGACACTCCACCTGCTTCCAGGTCAGGAACTCGCTCACCTGTTTGGCAAGTTCCCAGAATTTCTGAAACATAAAAACATTCATGTCACGATGAATGTCTTTTTTTAAATTAAATAAATATTTATGCTTCAAACGGTGAAATTTAAAGAGTTCTGCAGTGAAACGTGGTTAAAATCAGCTTCATGTGTTTAAATCGAAGGTGAACAGAAAGAGTTCCTCAGGATGGATGAACTCATCAGAAACAGCCTGATGGAAACAGTGATGAGCTTCACGCTCTCGACTCTTACTTCCCTCTTATCTGGTGGGTTTTAGGGAAGTGGTTATAAATAACCTTCAAGCTGTTGCTATGTGTGGTAAATAAATGTAAAACAATCACATCAGAAGCTGAGACACAGAAATGATGAAAACTCCCCTCGTTTTGTTTTTTTAGTTTGTTTTACCTCGAAGTTGATGTGTCCGTTCGGCAGGCGGCTGGAGCAGCCCTCGTTCAGAAAATAAATGTCTTTGATGAGCAGGCTGAAGAACGGGATGACGATCTGCAAGAGGAAAAAGATTTAATTAATCTGTGGAGAGCAGGCAATCCTGTAAACATCCTGTAAACATCCTGTAAACATCCTGTAAACATCCAGTAAACAACCTGTAAACATCCTGTAAACATCCTGTAAACATCCTGTAAACAACCAGTAAACATCCTGTAAACATCCAGTAAACACCCTGTAAACAACCTGTAAACATCCAGTAAACATCCAGTAAACATCCTGTAAACATCCAGTAAACATCCTGTAAACATCCTGTAAACAACCTGTAAACATCCAGTAAACATCCTGTAAACATCCTGTAAACAACCAGTAAACATCCAGTAAACAACCAGTAAACACCCTGTAAACAACCAGTAAACACCCTGTAAACAACCAGTAAACAACATATAAACATCCTGTAAACAACCAGTAAACATCCTGTAAACATCCTGTAAACAACCAGTAAACATCCAGTAAACAACCAGTAAACACCCTGTAAACAACCAGTAA